TTGGCGATTTCTCGCCAAATGTGGCAAGCCTGCCTTCCCTTGCTATTTTATGGCAACCGTAAACCTGCTTTGCGGGGAAGCCATCTTACCGCGCCTGGACATTTCGTAACAATATTAAGTAACAGGGAACAGGTGAAATTAGATTACATTTACTACAGAGTCTATCTGAGAGCATAATGTATTAATTCATAACATATTGTATTAATGAAGTAAAATCCCTTTTTAAGAGAATAAATTGATAATTGTGAAGGATACAAGTTTAAGAACCAAACCTTTACTTTGTTGCCTGTTATAGTTTATCAGTTTAGTTTTTACTGAATTATTTCCTTCCTTTTCTGCAAAAAAGAATATAATTTAAAACGCATTTTTATTAAACTGAGAATATTAATCCAGTTCTCCTTAAAATATTGCGTTTAATGAGATATGGCTAATAAAGTGATGTTTTTAAGTAAAACAAAAAGTCAGATCATGAACTTTTAAAATTGTCTCTAAAATTAATGTTTAGCAAGAAAATTTATTGTTAATGCACTATAAGTACAGGTTTAAATATAGCAAAATCTCACGATTTTAAACACTTGTTGTTTACTCTTAAATATATCACATTTTTCATTTAGGAAATGCGAAAGAAATCTTTTTGATATTGGGGAACATTTCTAAGAGAAATCTTGTTTAAATTTCACAAAATAATCTAAATCCCCGATAATATAAGCATTTTGCGTGTGTGCACGCCAATAGTGATGATGTTTAATGCATAAAAATGCATTAAATTCCACAATACACATTATTTGTCCGTGTAGAATAAAAATTCGATTTATTATCAAGTATAGCATTCGTGATATTGTATAATGAAACAACGGACTTGAAAGTGTTTGCAGTCTGCATGAACGTTTAGAAAATGTTATTCTGGTTGATTATACTCGTATAATTTCGGAATACGGATAAATGCAATATTTCCACGGATTTCCATGTTTTGATTCATATAGGATATGCAAATTTGAGAACTTAATTTCACTTTAAATAAACAGTAGAGCATTCTGTGTGAAATAAAGCATAGCAAGTTGCTAAGTGATATTTCTCAAGATGGCAATGACATGTTATTTCTCCAAGTTTTGTATCTGCTTTCTTGCTTTTCAAGAAAAATGTTATTTCATAATAACAAATTTCAAGTGCAAAATGATTGTATTTATTTACACTTTATCCAAATCGTGCATCATACTTACTTCTGTTAGATAAGTATTATCATATTATCTAAATGATTGTATTTATTTACATTTTACATAAGCGTCTGATTGCTGCATCGTGTTATACTGTAGGAAACACATTTTCTATCATCTACTTGAAAATACGTCTCGTCACTAAATCACCTAAAATGCTCAGCTGGGAATATTTTTTCACTGATAAGTGCATTTTCCAATAGCTTGACTACTCAGTTTGAAAAAAGGCATCACCTATATGTGTCCTTATCACTGACTGGCTGCCAAATCTATGTCGCGTACGTAAACAAGCCCCACAACTTTCATTATTCTGTACAATGAACTCTAAATTTCTAACTGGGTTGATCGCTTTCTTGTTGAAATGGATAGATTTTTATCCTTTCTCTCCACATTACCTTTATCATAGTAGCCAGTTTACAGCCATATCCTCCACCTGCATTAAAAAGCCTTCTTTGTGTCTCACTGCTTGCCATCAGACTAAAAAATTAAAAACTCGAGATCAAAATAAGGCTGCCTTAAAGTTGAACACTCTTATCTTGGCACCTTAATATCTATAACACAGTTAACAGTTTGGAAGAAATTCTCTTTATCCAAATTTTTTACTGACTTCACTTCGAACTACGGAATTGCTTAGAATATTTTACCTGCTCTCTCAGTATACAAGCAGTCTTTCAAAGTTATGGCTTCCGTATTAAACATTTCTTAAACTAAAAGGCAAGTCCCTGTCGTAATTTCAATACACAAAACAGCAATCAGGTAATTAAAATATAAATACAATTGAGGTTAACTGTATACTTTTCATTATGTTGTGGAACGACACTGTGTATTCTTAGTAATCTAAAAATTAGTTTACATATTTCTGTGTGTATTCTAAACTTCAATAATTTTACATACTGCTAACTTATTATCCAACTGTCAATATAAGGCCCTTTATCGTTATAATTAATTTAGTTAATCTTTCCATTCGCCTTACTTTAATCTCTCAGACTATTTCTGTTAATCTTTTACATATATGCTTTTGTAACTATACGAACCCGGAAATTAATTTTATTAAAAATTTAAATCTCTGCGCTGTTAATTTCCTTCTTCATTTCACGCAACTTTAACTGAGAAGCACTATGACAATTTCTTTAAAATTTACTACCAAATACATTTACAAAGACGATACACCAAACTTTCACCATAGGTGGTACTCCTATAGTACTGTCTCACTTACAGCACAATTCCATCCAAGTTTTGATACCACTATACCCATCGGAGTGGCATTTTTACGAAATTTGAATTTGATTTTCATTTAGCTTGTTATTTGTCTGGAGAGTTAAACACTTGTTAAGGCTTTAAGTCGCTAAGAACTTAAAACAAATTTATGGGTTAGTCGTTAGGATGAATATGCAGTAATTTGTCACCATAGAAGGTATAGCATTAAGTCAGCAAGATACTGTTTCATTTTGTTATCAAAAGATGGTATTCTTTGCAGTCTCCATGAATTAAATTTAGTACCAAGGGAAGAAAATCCGTTGAATCTCCCTTTTATATTCCAGATATTCTTCCTAGATCTGCATTGTATTATAATATACCACTAAATGTCTGTGAAATGCCACTCAGTCAGATTAAGGACAAAACTACTTTTATTTAATTTTAGTTGAAAATAAGTCATCAGTAGTTTCCTTCCTGAGGACAAGCTGAAATCTCTTAATTAACAAGCAATAGATAAAGAAATAAGTATGTTAAAATCTTATCTTAACTCCATAATATCATTTTCTTCAAGAAAAATATAAATGAATCAATATTAAAAAATAATAAATTTTAGAATGTGGTCTAATTTTTAATAGAATAAAATTCACAAAATAGCATCATGAAAGTTTTAAAAAAGCTGTCTGTGAGACCTTTCAGTTAATTAAGCCTGCTAAATAAAATGTAACACCAAAACCCTGACCATTCCAGAAATTAGAATCTGTTTTTCAGAATGTCAAGATATTTTACTTTTCAGACAAGTTCTTTCTGAAGTTATGCAAAAAAGAAGCTAATATAAAATTATTTATAGTCATTAATCACCTCTGCAGTAGGAACCAGAAAATACTATTGACGCATATACTTCATTTGCATGCCATACTTGGCTGGGAATGGAAGTTACAAGTCTCCGATCGATGCTCAATCGATCCACGTAATAGCAGTTTTAGCAATGAGAGTAGAGAGTCACTTTTGGAAGGAAGATCTGTTGCGTAGCAATTAGAACTGACATTTGGGGAAAATCCCTTTGCGTTCTTCTAACATCATTTATTCTTAGTCGTGGTCATTTTGACCCAGCAGCAGGATTAATATTTCTACCTGAAAAGCAGGAGGCATTGCTTTCTATGCCCAAAATGAAAGTAATATTTCTTACCCTAGAAATTTAACATTTGTGACAGTTGAAATTATAATTTAGTATACATATATAATATTTACAATTAATTTACATTCTATTCAAAATAACAAATGGCTTCATCAGCAGCTAACTATGAAGGTAAATACTTTCCAGTATCTAAGGTATTCAAAGTAGACGCTAGAGTTACATGTAAGCCAAAGCAGGCATTATATATATATGTGTGGCATAATTTCGAAGAACAGTCGCGATGGCTGAGTGGTAGGTCGAGAGGAAGAAGATTATATTAAACTACGTTCAGCCAATTATCATCTTTATTTCCAGATTTCCAGGCACACTATAATAATTCCTCGTAGACTATATACTCTATAATCATAACAATTAAGATAATTCTTTATATACAATTTAAACAGGTTAATGGTGGCGGCCTCATTTTAGACGGACAAGCAGAGCATAGAAGACACGTTAGCTACGGCGGAAGCTAGGAAATGAATGCAGCAGAATAATGACGTAATTAAGTAGCCAGCGGTATTTATAACTACGTCTGATGTAACTGTAGAGACAAGCTATGATTGGTTAATATTAGTTTTAGTTGCCCTTTTCCAGTAGCATTGTATAACGTAGAAAGATCTCGAATTTGGGAGAACATGTGAATTTAGGGAAAGAGCATCAAATCTAGAATGTTAATTTCGAGGTCGCCAATTATTTTTGTAAAGCATCTATAGTATTTTCTTATAGCTTACATATATATACATATAGCACTCAAATTAGATGTCATACATAAGCGCAGATATGAGGCTTATACATCCGTAGTTATTTTAATGCAATATTCTGTATAATTTAAGTAGATTTTGACATCAGCTGTAATTCCTTTCTTTAAGTAATATGCTAGACACAATAGCATAACTTTGAATTTCATCTTTTCCTTTCCAGAAATTTGTTTCCATAGCATTTATATTTTCGTCCATTATTTTCAGTCATATTTTTGTTTCGTCAAAGCGAAAGAATGCGTCATGGTAGGTATTACGTATAGCAAGGATATCACCTAGCACCTAAACATATATTTAAATCTAGACATTTTTTGATACATGATCCTTCATCGGATATAAAGCAGCATCTGAAAAAAAAACTTCGTAAAATAATAGAATTTTAAACTTCCAGAGAGTGCGGTTACGTTTTAAAATGCATATTTGCTTTCCGACTCAAATACTAAACAGGCAGGGAAAGAAAACGTTTAAGAAGCTTTCAGAAAGCAAAAACAACATCTCAGTATTTGATTCAATGTCCTTTAAATGGTACGGGATGTCACGGGATTTGAATGAATACATATCGTTATTTCATGGCAGAATAGCTGTTTACGTAAATATTCTATGACAAAAGTGTTTTTAGAAAACATTAATTCTTTTTTTATTTCTGTTTTCTTCAGAAAGGGACCAAGAATGCCCTGGAGACTGGTCGAACGTTTGCGACCATCTTCGCTGACATGGATTTTCGACAAAGATTGCTAGAAGTCCATAGCGAAGCAGAGTTCAAGAACGTCCTCCTCAAGCACGCCCAAGACTTGGCGGCAGAACAGAGCAACCCATCCAAACGTCTCGGAACCCATGATGGGGACTTAGATTTCGACGTGAGTTCACGTTATCCATTTTGATATCCATCATTGCTAGAGAATTCGCAGTTTTTAAGTATTCTCTAAAACAGTTAAATTCTTTTTAAAAAGTTATTTCAGAGTATTTATTTTCTTTAAGAATTCTTTTACATCTTGATTTTCTCTTTTGTATTTTAGCACAGTTTTAGAACTGATATTATGCCTCTGTAATTTACTTTAAAATAGGTAAAATATTCTGAAAGTAAATTTCCGTTATATATCTTTAAAAAAACAGTGGAGCGTAAATTAAAATGTAGGATCAGTAATCAAAAATTAATCAAATCTTGTATTCGTTCCTCAGTGGGGGAGGGGGGCTGAAACCACTTATATCGCTCATTTAAATGACGGAAACCAACTTTGAACAAAGATTTCTACCTTTCCCTCAAATGTTTTTGTTTGTTTATTTGTTCTTTGTTTCAAATTGTTTGTTGTTCCCGTGAGATAATTTGTGTCGTACTTTATTAATGCAAGTAAAGCAAGTCGAAGAGCAGTTGTCGTTTGTTTGCTGTTTATAAACGTCAGACCGCAGTGAGTGTTACATTGGCAGATCAGAAGGTTGTAACTTTTAATTATCAGATAAGTTATCCCTGTTGGCTTAATGTTTTGTCAAATTATGCAAAAGGGACCAGGAAATGTTTAATATGATCAAACACGGCGCAATATACAGATCCTTTCTCGAATCACTGTAGCTTTCTTTATTAAACTTGGGGCCCACCAGCGGCCGAGCGGTAAAGTAGCTGAACACTGGTAGTTCGGTCCGAGGTTCGAATCCCGCGAACGGGCTGACTGCTTGGGTGTTTTCGTGGTTTTCCCCATATGTAACGTGTATGCGAGCCAGTTTTCCTTAGAAAGTCCTCCACGAAGGCATCCCTCCCCTTAGGCAGATAGCCCTAGTGTGCTTTGCCATAATTAAATACACCACACCACATCATTATTAAACTTATATTTTACAACATTGTATGATTTATGATTTCTTTATAAAATAGACTCATTTCAAAATTCCTGTAAGCGTAAAATCTTGCTTTTCATAATCGTGTTACCCTTCAGTATGCTGTAATAAAAATAAAAATGACACATAATTTAATCAAATTTGTTTACTACAATAAATGCTTATTCGTAATTGTTTCTCAATTACATACAACAGAAGTGTAAACAATAAGACTGAAAGTGCATCGCGTTACCCTAAAATCAGTGTTAAGAATTTCATGGTTGCATGCTCTGAGCAAAACCGAAATTAAAACGCTTGTCGAAAATATTGGAAAATATGCGTAATCAAAGATTTTGGTTACCTATACAGATAGTTGTGGGATGGTCCAGAATTTTCAATATCGATAAAAGGCGAAATCTATTGAGTGGGTAATTATACATTTCATGCACATTTATTGAAATGAGCTATTACTTGACTGAGCACATTTATTGAACTGAGCTATTGAATTAACTATGAGATGTTTGAGCTTGTGTTTGTGTATATTTGTTACGTTATGAAAAATGATATAGAGCCTGTTTTTGCATACGCAGACAACAGACTTCCAACAGACAGACAAAAAATACACATACTCGATGTGAAAGAGTCTTTATTTTATTTATTACTTGCTTCGCCATTAGACACCGCACGGAAAGGAAGGAATGCCCCATAGAGTATCATTTAAAGGAAACTGACTACCATCCACATTATACAGTGGGAAAACCATGAAAATGCCCATACAACCAGCCCGTTCGATGGGACTCAAACCTCTGACTGAGCTACCACTGTTCAGCGGATTTTACGGTTCGGCCGCTAATGGGCGCCTGAAAGCGATTGATCGATCAATTTAAACACTGAAACATGCATTTGGAAAGAGACATTAGCGGACTGTCATATTTCAACTCTACTTTCAGTTGTGTTTAAGAGGAAGTAGTCATACCTGTCAGTTAGAATCTGGAACGCTGTGGGTGACAATTTAATGTGATGATCGTGTAGCTCAACAATAAGTCTTACCTACTTCTACAACCATTCTTTCGGTTGTCAGACGAGTGGTGATACTTTTCATATTTTAGTTCATTTCTTAACAAGCGATTTCCATTCTCCTTGCAAAAGTAAAGTCCACTTCATAAATTACTACTGACTGCAGCTCGTTGTCGGTGTTGTGCCGACAGATTGAAATTCAGAACTGCGACATTTGACTTTCATCGAAACAGAAATCTATCTGAGTAAAAGGTTTTATTTGAGATTTGTCTATGCCCTCGCTGCCTTCCTATAAACACTATTTAGTCGTATTTTGAAACTGTCTAACGTCTATAAGAAATGAAAATAATTAGCATAAATATAGTTATTGGTAGGTCTTACCAGATAATAGATTCTGCGAGTTTCACATAATTAAAAATACTGCTAATTTGTGTTTATAATGATTTGAAATGAATGATAAAATGTCACTACTGCCAACGTTTTATTCTTTTCTTATGTATGAAAGGAAGTTTTGAAAAAAATTTTGAGATATTTTTATGGAACCTCAACTAAAAAATAATGAGGAAAGTTTCAAAGTAATTTTTATAAAAATGTAAAAGCGGTAGTAACTTTTTAAAGAAGCATTAAGGACATTTCAATTTATACAGTTTTTCTTAAGCTTTAATTTACTAAAAAGAAACAAAACGTATATCACGTAAAGTGAAAATATATGCACGAAAACTGATGTTGTTTCACGATAGTGACTAAATATTCCCAAATAGAATAAATGCTATAAATAATTTGCTAATTACATTATAAAGCTAAATGGCCCCGTGCTTATAAACTTTAAGGAAGTTCTTCAGTATGAATTTAGTCCGCTTCGTCTATCTTGTTATCATTATACTCTATTCGTCTTCTTTTTCAAAGATCTCTGACTAAGATTCGTTATGATTTCATCACATAGATTAGAGATCAAAAAGGAACTTTATGGCGGACATGATTTATATGATGATTGATATCAAACGACTATTGTATCCTCTATCACTGAATTAAAACACAATTTTAAAAAATGAAAGAACTTATATTTGAGGTAACAGAAAACATACAATGATATAGCAAAAATAGTATATATATGGCTGAGAAAATCTGAAAGAAACAAATAAGCTGATAATTAAATAAATACGCTAATTTAAAGGTTAAGCAATAAAGGGCTTTTATGCACTGAAAAATATTTTTTTTTTCAAAATAATGTTGATTAAATTATCGCAAATAAATTTTTAAAAATATTTATAAGAATGGATTCCCTTTTACTCACAAAAAAAAAACTACGTAACAAACTTCTCTTAAAATTTTTTTGGGCATGTCAGATTTTTATTTAGTGCAATTTTCAAATTGTAAGCTCTCCTTCTACAGGCTAAAAAAAGCGCATCACCATTGTAACACCATTCACCTATTTGTGAATGTGGAAATAAAATACAGAATATGGAAATAAAATACATTGGCTGAAAAATGCATTGATTTTCCGGATCTTTTCTTAATATAAAATTCGTTAACTTCTTAACAAAATGTAAAAGAAAAAAAAATGTGCTGTTAAAAGTTCGGGCTTCGAGGTGCACATGTTCGGGCACAGGATTACGTGTATTCAAAATTTGATGGCTCTAGGTACTTTATTATAAAATAATTTCTCTTGACTGTGCTCGTGCTAAGTGCTAAGCGAAATTTTTATACATTCAGACTAGTGTATAAAACAAAACGAAAAGAAAAAAATAATTTTAACACTTTTCAAAATAAGAAAAGCATCTAAAAACGCACAGCCATAGTTTGTTTTAGTGCGCTTTATTTTTGTGCATTTCGGTGGATTCAGTTATGCCTCCTTATCCGATGATTTTGGTAAACGTGGCTTACATAGGAAAATACAGTTTAGGTTTTATAATAGTGGGTCTTAACACGAAGAAAAGTAGTAGGTAAAGCAATACTGTGTTTTCAAAATAATCACTGTAGGCGTTTCTGCATGCTCACATTGGACTAATGAAAATCAACAGAGAGGGATAAAAATGGTAACTGTGGAACTAACCATAAGTGTGTTCTCAATATACAGCTCAACTTTCAGGTTCTCGTATCTCTTAGTTCACACAGTACTACTAGAAAATATAAATATAATGGCAGGGAAACGTAGCTACATTAGTCCATATCAGAGGATTTGACTCCTCTTTCTCTCTATTTGTATCCATTGCTCTCTGTTAAGCCTGCCTCCTAGCTTCATCTGGTATTAATGTGGCATTAGCAATACCATTTTTATTGCATTGTTGGAAAAGAATGAGTTTTATTTCCACCATTCGTTGAAACAAAGCATTATAGTGTGGCAGTATAGAAACTGCATTTTGTCATTTCTCACTCATCTTCCTCGGATTTAGCTAAAATATCAGAATATCTTACTTTCAATCATTACGAGGAAGAGAGCGCATATTTTATACTTTTAGTGAACAGGGTGTACTTTTTTTTTTTTTTTTTTTTTTCCCTTTAGAAATGCGGTATGTTATGTGGTGCGGAGTAGGATTTATTTCATTATTATTTATTTAATTTTAAAATTATTTTGATTGCGTAATTTATCAATTAAATCTGACAGTAGTTTTATACGTTTAGTAAATATCCTGTTTCAAATAATGCTCAGTATTACCAGCAGTAAGTTTAGGAATCTATTTATCGAAAGCGTGGAGACTCTGTTGCATTATGAATTTTTACAAATCGAAGTTTGGCGGTCCTGCATCTAACCAATAGTTCACATTTACTTCCAATAATCCTATTTGTTCCTTTCCTGTTTCTGGGATATATTCCGTATATTTTTAATACATTTTTAATATTTTATTGCCATTATATTTAAATTAGGACAACTGATATTTTTTGACAGCCGCTAAATGTTCAGTAACTAATACTGTATTTTTTATTTATATCTACAAAACTGATAGATAATTTCGGCTATTCTCATTTTTCTGAATATTATTCTGTAAATCACTAATAATATAATTTTTCTGAATATAAATTTGTAATCTGCATTTATTACGTAAAACTGATAATTACAGCTACACTTCAGTATTTGCTAACATAATATAGAAATTAAACTTATGTAAAATTGTACAGTTATCTTAAGTGAAAGTAATTACACAATTGTGATTTTGAGATAAAAGTTATAAATAAATTATGTTGTAGGTGAACATGCGCAGGAGGTCAAGATAGACCTCTTATGTCAATCAGTTAACTTATGAACTTAAATAAAAATTTTCTAAAAAAATTAAAGCAAGCAAATAATAAGAAACACATAAGTTATAAGAAAAAGGAAGCCTTATAGTTTTATATATTTTTTAGCTGTGGAAGCGTTAATTTAATTTGCACTGGAAAAATAAAAAAAGCATATGTGACTCATTTTATTGTGATATTCGCCGTATTGTGGTGGATTAGAGTCGAGCACGAGTTATCTAGTACACGAGTTATCAGTATATAAATATGAAATAACTAAACGTAAATTAAAATACAGTTTAGGAATAACTTTTGATTTGCAACTGACGTTAATGAAATTGTTACGAGAAATTATTTTCTTCCTTAGAGGTAAACGAAACAGACAATAGTGGGTAGAATGGATACAATATATACAAATTAAACTAAATCTTCCTCAAATTAAATGCGGTAAGCATTTGTTTAACGTAAATTAAATTAATTCTTATCGCATTTAGCATTTATATTAATTCAACCCAATTATACATGAACCTACTTTTCATCGTATGAGAAACTAAATGCAAATTTATGTTAATTCAGAGGAACGAAGAGTTAAGAAGATACCACCAAAAGTTAGTAACCAATAGGAATTTATGCTAAGATAGAGTTTATAAAGAAAACTGCTGGCTGTACAACGAATCGGGCAAATCCATGTATATACCCTTTTCATAAAATTTTATAATTTAATATCATGCAATATACTCACTTGGATAATATATTCACATTAATCTGTAAGCGCTCTGTTGTGTTGGATGCACAAGTTTTTTGCGATTATTTGCTGCAGCATTTTGGATGTGATAGTCCAAAGCCTTTTCTGTGTTCCCTTTGTTCTTTTATTGTGATAATATGATAACAACCATTATTTTGAGCTATTGATTGAGGTCATAATGCTGGTTATTATCAAATCGAACTACAGCTGGCGTATTTAATTTCACCAGTAGCCAATAACGTATGATTTTTGCTGGCATAATGTACAGGGTCTTCACAGACGCTCTGTCCTACATACTGTTGTACACATTTGTAATGTTTTTGCTAAAAATGTGAAATTAATAGGAAGTTACTTTTTAACCTTTCGCTTTTATCTTTTTAGGAGACGAGGTGCAGGCTTGCACAAGGTTTGTGGGATGATATAAGAAGAAGGTCATCACTTTACATCAGTGACTTCGTAGATGGTAAGTAATCACTTTCTTTTCCCTTATTTATTTATTTATCCGGAGAGGGCACAGCTTGAAATATATTTGTTTGTCTTTTTTAGGTTTTGTGGGACATAAGACAATCCATAAAACAATATCGACCATATTTTTCCTCTATTTCGCCTGCATCCTTCCGACCATTGCTTTTGGCGCCCTAAATGATAACAACACGCATGGGCAGATCGGTAAGTTTCTGTTTCATTGCTCGCTCAGATAAAGTTATGCGCTATTCTTGTCGAATGTAATTTTTATAAAAAAAAATATACTCTGAAAACTTACAGCTAGTTTCTTTTAGCTGGTATTTTCTTAGCCAAAGTAATATTAAAAATAATTTCAAAATATCCTCTCTTGAATATGCAGTAGTAGACGTTAAAAAAGAGGTTGACAGATTTTCTTTGTAATGGAAGAATTACTCATAAATTTGTATTAGCCGAGTACTTACTGTTGCTTCTTCTGAACTATGATAAAATTTTGTGCTTGATCAAAACGCAAACACAGTTCTTTTCAAGTTAACTCTCACGTTAAAACGGGGACTTAAAGAATAAAAAATATTTTATTCAATAAACACGTATTTCTGCTTCGGTTTCTCTTAAGCTTTCTAGAACTAAGTCCTTTTAGTACTCAAAGCTCCAGCCTCTTCTTTTTTTCCCTTTTACATCAAAGGAGTTTGATTCACAACTTAAAAAATAATATAAATTGAGAATCAACGTCAGCTTATTTTTTCTTCAGAATTATATTATTCTACTACAGAAAGACATCACGTCCGATTTCAAGTACTTATTACGCTAGCAAAAGATAAAAAAAAAGCTCAACTTCGTCAAATTTAGATCTTAAAAATAATATAGTATGATATTAATAATATGCAGGTGGTAATTAAATCTACTTTTTTTGCTGTGATAAATCATACAATATGGTTTATATTAATAAGTAAAATAAGCAAATTTTCGAATAAAATTCATTGAATTAACGTATTTTTCATGTATAAAATATCTAAATTGAAAGAAAGTGTATTTTATTTTTAATTAGGTAAATGCATACCTAGGAAGAAGTTTTCTGTTTCATCAAATCACTAAGTAATCGCTAGGAGTAGCTCATGTTTTGGAAGTTTTCCTTACAGTGCTTGAGTTATCATAACATTTGAACACTGATGTGGACGACAGAAATTTATTTCATCCTCCAAAATGAAAGTTTAATCAATCTTAATGCTATGTCACTCAATTTTTTTTTTTTTTTTTTTTTTTTTTTTTTTTTTTTTTGTTTTTGTTTGTGTGTGTGTTCAGAGACTTTGTAACTAGAAACTACTTTAACACCAAAATACGCTGATCAACAGATGCGAAATGGATTTCGCAAAAATAAAAATTTAAAAGTTCAAAAAATATCCTCTAAGGGCTGCTTTACTATAAAATATAAAAAATATGAACCTTTTAAATATAAAAAAAAAAAAAACCATAGAGAGAATTGTGAAAGAAATATGTGGAAAAAGTATTCTTTAAAGAGCTGAGGTAAATTTTTCTTTAATGCTCCGTAGAACAATCAAAACTGTCTCCTTTGGCCTTAAGAAACTCCACATATTTTCCAGGAAACAATAATGCATTTTCTTAAAATCACATACTTGTGTAGATTCATTTCCACGTTTATTCTTGGCGATTCTTTTTCGAAGAAGTTACTGCTAATGGCACTGCGATATGTTGCGTGACAAACGGTACAGACCATAACATGTTGCAGAATTTTATTTTGCTGCCCCTGTAGCAATGACACTGTTTCACCTCTGCCATTTTTATGCAATATCATGTTAAACATTAAGTAAAGCAGTTTTAATTTGTACATCTTCCTAATGAGTGCATCATTATTCGCTTGTTTTATTGGCCATCACATTTACCGGAATTCAATCCCAATGATTTATGAACGTGGGGCCACTTGAAACAATGCTGTTTATTGTCGAAGTTCTGTAACGTTGGCAGAGCTGGGAAACAGCATCTCACTATTCTTCGCAGGTGCGAAGCATTACTGAGTATAACATGTGATCAGCGAAGTAGTGCCAGATAAGTATGTCACCTGCCAGGAAAGTGCCTTGTTACATAACAATGTTGTAACTCGCAAGATACATTACATTAGTCAATCTATGGCTGCAGATACTGCGGACCCATTCTGCTTTATAATGTAAGCGAATGTAAGGGTATAATGTAATTTATAATGTAAGGGTTGTAACCGTTTGCGGAACTTCAAACTTTGCACCAGTTCTTTTTCTCACATGCTCCATCACGCTTGAAAGTTACGTAAGAATTAATAAACGTCGGAAGCAAAAAAAAGGGCGCCAACAGTAAATTAATTTGAACTGAGAAGTTCTTAGCGGAACTGTCGAATACTTCACTAATGTAGTCATAGTAAGTCTTATATAATTATGTAGAATTTATTAGAAATCAATGGATCTAACATAGAGTGATCTCCTTTTAGTAAAAGCCTGAGAACTAATTGCAACTGTTGCTTGATTTATTTATTTATTTGGATAATTCTGAAGTACAACAAATTTTATCCTGCCGAAGATTCAGTATTGAAATTAATTATTATAAGTTCATCTAATCTAGCTTAATTTAAATTTGAATCTTCAGTTCAGAAAATAGTTACACTCATTCAACATATTTATTTAAACTTTGTCTCTTTCCATAAAAGTATTTCCTCAAATGTTTCTTAGATTTGTAACAAAAATTTTTTTAATGAAATGTTTAAAAACTTTTGAACTGCTTGAAGTTTTTACATCATTAAATATTTACTTAAAATAACACGCTCTAAAAACACAAAATCCAATTTCTTAATAGGGGAAATGCACTTTCTTTCACTTGCTTCAGAAAGTTCTATAAAAATTTGCTTTATTCTCTCAAAGAGGAATTCGAATATCAGGTAATACTTATACTGGGACTTATTCCGTCAAGTTTCATTTTATCGCGCGAATATTTTAGATCTTCATTATTCTTTTTGCTAGATAAATCAATATCTACATCATTTACATACTTCTAAAACAATTTTTAGTTCAGTCAAAATTGTCATTTTTCATACACATTTTTAATCAGCTATTAAATCTCTCAGGTCTCAATCATTCATATTTCTAAGTTCAAAGTTCGACCACTTTCTTCTTATTATTCTATACATTTTCCAAGCCTGAGTTTGTATAATTTTTTAGAAAGGTTTTCAGTTATTACCTTACTTATGAAGGCACATCACTCAAAAGTGCTAAAAATTAGGTCAATTTTAATATTTTTCTCGTAATTATTAAATAAAATTATATAAGCAATTTTTTATAGATTGTTAATCAGTTTTATAACTTCATTCTCCAATAATAAATGCCCCGAAGGGCATTTCTCTAATACAGAAATGCCCTTCGGGGTACTTTGCTTCAGAACTGGGGGCGGAATTGAGCGAAGTCGTACTGTCCCCGGTACGGTGCTCAAGGCTCTTGCCAACGACAGGTGCAATCTTGCACTCCTTGCCACGATGTATTTCGTGGGCTTGTTCTGATGTTACTCTCAGACAAGTGGGATAAGTCACAAAACAATACAGAAATGGACATTTTTCATACATTGCAAAAAGAATACTAAAAATTGTAAATGGAACACCAAAACGAGGAAACGAAATCCCGATTTCTCGCGCCTTTTAATTCGGACGGCTTAAGTCTCGAGTCAGCAAATGATAGTTTCCGAATTCAACAGTAGCTGAGGAGTTCATCTCTTCAACAGAGAATATGCTCCTCAATAGATAGTGCCGACAGCAGCGCTACATTTGCCGTGGAAAACCGATTAGCTGATAACTATTTCGGACAAGATTGAAACACCAAAAATGACATTCTTTGCTACATCTTCAGGAATATTGCTCTCTGTAGCTGCAAATAGTATTTGAATAATTTTGGAAACAAGGGAAATGATTGTTTTTTGGAAATAAACGTTGTCTTTTATTTAAAACACATAACCATACTTAGACATTTATAAAAAAAATTCAGATATGGTGAACCTCCTCTGTAAACAACTTCTGAAGGCAATCAGTATTTTTGAGAATATAATAAATGTCGATATTGATAATTATAATAGTTTTGTCTAAGACGGTCATTTTCGAACCCGACAAAAGCTATCAAATATAGATGAAGGTTACTACCCAAAATATTTAGTCTGACTATCAAATTAAAGAATTTTATACACAATATAAATTAAAAAAATTATGTTTTCGTTTCTTACTGAAATAGCAAACCTACTTTAAAGGTGAACAACGAACAATTCAACATCATGCTGTAATTTATCATAGACTTGGTACAGGTTTCTAAACAGCTCTCTTTAAATGATTCATGATACCCCTAAGTTGTTTATACTAGTGGTCACAAATTGGTTGCTAGAGAAGCAATTTTATACGGTCCGCGAAGACATTTCAATTATTCATTTTTTGCAAAATATGGTTTTTCAAGATTTTAATTATTTGAAGTTCGAGTCTACATTATTTCCATTTTCATTAAAAACAAACTTAATAACGCTCTAGAAAATCTGTAAATAGAACTAATTAATTTATTACGTGAAACAAATTTTATTCAAAGATTTGAGGATACAGATTTTATTAACTTTTGTTCGTATTCATTAAAAAATAAGCTCAGTTACGAATTTTTGCTCTAAGAATAAACGCTTGCTTGGGAATACATTTATAAGTGAAAAGATTTTTTCACAGTTGAAAATTAAGATGAAGGAAACTCGATTGACCGATGAGCATTTGCAATCCATAATGAAGATAATTTCTAGAAAACTTTCACCAAGTCAACAATTTTAATCAGTATCGCAAAGCCATCAGGTATTAAGTTGTACTAAGTGTATAAACGTGTGCATTTTAGTTATGCGTTGAACAGAATTTTAATAAGAAGAAGATTAGGTTGTTATTATTTATTCTCAAGTTTTGTCTCACTTGGTAAATTTTCTCTGAAAACTTAGAAAGTTTTCATAATTTGTTTATTTTTAGTTTATATTAAAGTAAATCATTTAATTATGAATTAAACATGTTAGATTTCTTTGAAAGAAATGTCAGTCTAAGAATTTAATATTTAGTTATGAATATATCTGAATTACAAATTGCAACCAACAAAAATGTCTTATAGGTACCAAACTTCAGATTCATTGTTTATGTATGTTTTAATAAATATTTATTAAGTAAAATTTAAAACTTACTTAAAACATTTTATTTTATTAAAAGAATTCATTTTGTTTAAAAAAACAACAATTTTGTTTAATTCTAGCCCATCTAGCCCATCATCTGAAAACTTAGAAAGTTTTCATAATTTGTTTATTTTTAGTTTAAATTAAAGTAAATAATTTAATTATGAATTAAACATGTTAGATTTCTTTGAAAGAAATGTCAGTCTAAGAATTTAATATTTAGTTATGAATATATGTGAATTACAAATTGCAACCAACAAAAATGTCTTATAGGTACCAAACTTCAGATTCATTGTTTATGTATGTTTTAATAAATATTTATTAAGTAAAATTTAAAACTTACTTAAAACATTTTATTTTATTAAAAGAATTCATTTTGTTTAAAAAAAACAACAATTTTGTTTAATTCTAGCCCATCTAGCCCATCATCTGAAAACTTAGAAAGTTTTCATAATTTGTTTATTTTTAGTTTAAATTAAAGTAAATCATTTAATTATGACTTAAACACGTTAGATTTCTTTGAAAGAAATGTCAGTCTAAGAATTTAATATTTAGTTATGAATATATCTGAATTACAAATTGCAACCAACAAAAATGTCTTATAGGTACCAAACTTCAGATTCATTGTTTATGTATGTTTTAATAAATATTTATTAAGTAAAATTTAAAACTTACTTAAAACATTTTATTTTATTAAAAGAATTCATTTTGTTTAAAAAAACAACAATTTTGTTTAATTCTAGCCCATCAGCTCTTTTCAGTTTGAGTATTCCGCCGGCATGTAATTTGAGTTTGAGACTACTGGTTTACAAACCTATTATTACAAATTTTTCGTTTCCTGTCTGCGCGGTTGGTCTTGTACAACTAAACAATGCTGAAGTAGTATGAAGGAAATCGTTCTTTTCTGTTTTTGTTTTTATTGCTATCAGTTGCATTTATTTCAAAGATGACAGAGTACCTAATCGAATAGGTTTATTATTTTATTATATTTATTCATTTTTTTTTATTTTTGGAAATTTTAAGCTATTAACTTTGTATTAAAATTTTGCAAAATAAAATAAAAAACAACATTGCATTTGAAAACTGATTATTGAATTTGCTGCCGGTGAGCTGTCGCAAAGGGAGTTGACGGGTTTCATTGGATGAATATTCAATAAGTAGTGATAGTACCGCCCCACCAGTGACCGAGTGGTCGACTGTTCTCTTTTGTAGTGGCCGACTGCCATGACTTAAGTTCCCTTCTCTAAGGTGAGCACCACTAAAACCCTTCTCTAATTCTCTAAGGTTCCAACCAAAATCGTCCGGAACCGTACGTGCTCTTCTTATATAGGGTTTACTGCATTTAAAATATCAAAAGGCAGAAATCCATTTTTGCCTCAAGTTGTAGATAATTTATCTTACATGATTTCCCAAATTCTAAATCAATCTAGATTGTACCTTCAAGAATGTTTTAGAGAGCTGAATAAAAAAAAATAGTTTCGAGGAAAAAATCATAGACGATAGGGATATTAACATATCAGGTCTCTGTATCAAATCCGAAACCGATGACATTTCCAAGCAAGTAGCTTTCTCAGTTATCGGAATTTTTTTATAAAAGGTGTTTTACAGTAATCTTCTACGAGTATTAAACATTATTTTTTTTCTTAATATCATCGAGTTGTCAGGTTGATACACTTCCTTAAAATCTAAAAGGAACTTTTTTCGAAAAGTTATTTTGGGAAGAAACCATTTTATTTTTTTGTATTGTCGCAATTAGGGTCGGTGGTATTGTATACTGATTGCAATTACAATTTTTAAGGATGAGTTCATCAATTAGAATAACGTCACATTTTAAGTGTATTGTGAATCAAATTTAATCGTAAAAAAATGCATTATTCCGAATAGAAAGTATCCACTCTTTTTAGTTTCAACAAATTCTGAATGTACATGCTGAAATAATATTTATTTACACTTCTGCACATCTAAAAGTGTATAATTTCAATCGGTACTGATCTTCATGGAGCCTGTTATCTTATGGTAACCAAGTAACAGCTTTTCTTTCTGAAACAATGTGCAATATTTACTCTATGGCATTACCAGAAATGTCTTTGAAGTTTCTTTCTACAGAGTGCGCATTGCCTTACCGGCGAGGAACCGAAAACATATTCATTCCGCTCAACATATGAGAATACTGACTAAGTTTTTGAGTTAACTTATTTTTAAACTTTATACAGTGCGGCCAGGAAGTTCCTGTACAACTGACCGAAATGGAGACAACAGTGTAAGTTGGTAACATATTTGAGATTTGAACTTTCCATCCTCGCCGTTAATATGGCAATGCTCCTCACGCAAATTTCAACGGGATTGCCGCGTAACTGCCTGGAGAGGAGAATAAAACCTGTGTGGTGAATAGTTAATTGTCTCGCTTTTCTGTGCTTGGTGAAGAACAATGGCACATACGAGCGATTTCTCTTTCAAGGTGGTGTGGTGGTGGTGGTGTATTTAATTATGGCAAAGCACACTAGGGCTATTTGCCTAAGGGGAGGGATGCCTTCGTGGAGGACTTTCTAAGGGAAACTGGCTCGTATATACGTTACACATGGGGAAAACTACGAAAACACCCATGCAGCCAGCCCGTTCGCGGGATTCGAACCTCAGACCGAACTACCAGTGTTCAGCGACTTAACCGCTCGGCCGCTGGTGGGCCTCTCTTTCAAGGAGTGCTTTGACAAGTGCGCGTGGATCCATAAACGGAAGCACAACAACGAAAACATAGCACAGGTGATGGATGGATTTCGCGAATGATTCGGTCGTCTGGAAAGTGTTTTCGATTCACCAGCCCCTTAACCTGGCTGCCTCGAAATCCGGACCTTACCACACCAGACATTGCCCTGTGGTGGCTGATCAAATAATACTTTGGGAAGAAGCGGTACGTGGACAATGATGCTCTGTGGGCAAATGTGTTTGAAGCCTTTCAACATGTGACACTGAATCTGCTAAAGCGGGTGAGTAGGAGGATATTCAGGCATATCCAACCTGTAAAGGAATATGCGGTTCGCATTCGGACCTTTTGGACAAATAATTGCAAGTGTTATTAAAATTACAATGAAATAATTTCACGTATAAAGGGACTTTCTGGCCACCCTGTATAATGCTTTTGCATAATTAGTAGCGCTATTGAGGCCGGTTTGCCCCAGTTCACAGAACCGCTTCCTAAAATATTTTCGGTTAGGAGAAACTGTTATTAAAACGCAATCATCACATTTATCTCTACTGGGAAGTAAATTATCTTTTATTTAGCGGCAAAGCCTGTCGTTAAACTGTTTGAATCTCATAGTTGTAAATAATGCAGTACATATTTATTTAGAACTTTTTCGCCTGAAAAGTGTTTTCGATTCACATGTAATTTTCTTTGATTTAGATGTTCGAAAGTCCATCATTGGTCAGACACTTGGTGGCCTTGTGTTCGCACTGCTTGGAGGTCAGCCACTTGTTATTGTTATGACGACAGCACCGTTAAGCCTCTATACGAAAGGCAAGTATACTTTGCTATTTAATGATTCTTAAAGCAAGTCCATTCTCATTTTTAAAGTTGTATTTCATATTGCAGAAAATTTAGGAAAATAAACAGGAACGTTATTATTAATAATTACCAGTTCAAGAGAACAATTTAACTAAGTAAAAAGAAGATTAACTATTTCGTGAAATTGTGTCTCAGAAAATATTTCGTGGAAATATGTTCCTACAAAACATTTTGAATCAACAACTGTTATTAATATCTGTAGGTTTGAAAGCAGAACCAGTTAGCGTATTAAAAGTACAATTTAGCTAAAAAGAAAAAAATCTACACATTTCGTGGAAATTTTCCTGCAGAGAAATCTGAATTAGCTGCTTTTGTTTTATATCCTTCGACTTGTAAATACTCCAATAACACAGTAAAATTATTTATGATTAAAACATAGCTTTTAAAAATAATCATGGCATGAAATCAAACTGTTCTTTTTACTAAGTAAATCTGAAATACAAGTATTTCGGTTTATTAGAGGGTGCTATAGAACAGGTTTCTTGGAATTTAAAACAGCAGATTTAATGAAAAATCTATCCTTTTGTATTTGTATGCATTCATTTATGAATAGTTGAGATTTATTGTTGAAATATATTTTGGAACAGTTAATGAAACCTGAGAGGCCAATTTCCGAAAGATAGGGTACCTCTAAAAAGACGTTTTGCGAATTCTAAAAGTAGTTCTTCTTCTAACTGTTTGTTAACTCCGAAGAACTTGCGTCGAAATTAGAGCTATGAGCATTAATACTATTTAATTCTGAGAAAAATAACTATTGTGATATTCCAATTTAAAAGATTAATTATTTTCCACTCGTGTTGAACGATAACACAGATTTCTCGCTAACCTCAATGTCCCTGTACTAATTTTCAGTTGGATGAAAATTTCTGTGTAGCTTATCAGCTATTCTTACAATTCCGGTTTCTCTCATGTAGAATAACATTTCCTGTGTTATAATTCATTATTCAGATATTTTAGTTTCAACTGAATAGTTTCAGGAATTAGTTCCCATTATCTAATCTAAGTTTCAGTAATATGAAGACATGTGATTTTTAAAGTTATGAAGCAAGGAAGTTTAAACAAAAGTGTTCCTTCTCCTGAACCTACATTATGTGTATTCTTTATACGCGAGGGGTATGTTTTCTGGAACATAAACGCGTAAATTAATGAATAGCGAATAAGTTTTAGACTACTTCTGTTCGTAACTGTTGTCTTAGCCAACAGTAAGAGAGTCGAAGAAAGGGAGAGCAAGTATCGCAGACGGGAGAGAAGTTCTCGTATCAGTCTACATATCTCCCTTACCTTTTCTTACAGGAAAGTATGCAATTCAAATCAGCACGTGTACTTGTAAAAAGCATAAAAGGTAGCGGAGGAATCCTTTCCAATTCTAAGCAAAGAAAAGCTGTGTTTAAATTCAGTTGGTAAACTCCATATTCCGATTTCCTTTTTCCGTACCAAAATTTGTATGATGCAAATTGTCTCATCATTCTAGGTTCTTGTTTTTTCCTTCCTTATACGTGTTTTTTTCACAAACATAAATACGACTATCTAACTGGCAGTATTCTTAAATTATTAAGCTAAATCAATTATAGAGTCATCAAGTTTTTTTTTTTTTTTTTTTTTTTTTTTTTTATTATTATTATTATTATTTTGGATCAGGACACCTTAAAAAACATGTGATGCCGCAATTCAAACTTCTAACCTCTCGGACCTACATTTCAATTAGACACAAATTCAGTCGGTAGGGAGGGAGAAAATACTTTATATACCCCCCCCCCTTTTAGAAGGCTACTGAGAAGACGGGAACCAGTCGCCAAATCGCGTGGTGATGAATTATCGTTCATCACCGTTTAGTTCGAGCGCCACTTATCATCAAGCATTTTATTTTAGAGTAGGAAACATGAAAAACGTGAAGTGGGACGTGAAGTAAAGTTACGCGGCAACGGGATTCGAATTCTGGTCCGTCAGATTACTAGCCGAACGTGTTTTCCAGTTACACCACGACGGTACTTGGAAAGGAGAGAGAAAGTAGCCTACAGAGTGAAATATAATTAAAGTATTAAATAATGAGAGAAGAAAGGAAATTATCAAAAGAATTCAACACGTCGGTTCTACTACAGTCTAAAACACAGCCTTCAGAAAAATCAACACCTTTGATGTCAGTGAAAAGTTATCAGCTCCGAAGGGAATTATGGAAACTTCGACCGTGATTCACCTAAAATGAAGATCATTTTTTTACAGAAATAGTCATCATTTGTTTTTCTTTATATAAAGAGATCACATTAAAATGTTTTGGTGCTTAAAAATAAGCTCTTATCTTCAGTGCACCAGCTACTGCTCATAAGCTGTAAATTTGAGAGGCATTAAAATAAATATTACACAAAACATTTTTGAAAGGAGCTGAAAAACTTCTCCCACCAATTGTTGTAGTGCGACCTTCAACACGTGCACCTTATTATTCAAATTGGACTGCGATTTTAAATAACTTCTGGCTCCCAAATTACTGCCTTTCCTACATCTGTCTTTTTTCATTTTTATTATAGAGACGATAAAATAAACAGTTACTAATGCAAAAAGTTACTAGTACAGTATATTAAAGTATCAGTTTTAAAATCATTTGTTGATTTAGTTAATTTAATAAAGCTACGAAATGTATGAAAACATAGCAAAGCAGCAAAATAATCCGAGGCAAACATCACAAATGTGTATGGGGAAATATGCTCATAAATAAACTCACACTGATTGATGGTAAATCATAAACTGTCGTAGTGAGATAGTATGTTTCTCAAAAACCCTCATTTGCCGAAAAGGATGTTGGGATTTTCTTTTAATGGTATCTTTCTTCCACTCCTGCTTTAGTTCAAATTTGTTTAGAAATTTCTTATTTTATCTGACTTTACAGATTTGTAAGTTATGGCACGTTTGATTTTTACTAACGAAGAATTATTTAATTTACATCTTTCGTTTTGTCTTATTCGAGAGATTCCCTCATTCCAGAATTTATGTAATTTGAGTAGCAAGCAGTTCTGCTACTTAGTTAAAGAAACAGCGCATTGCAAGCGTGTGTGTGTGAGCTTTGGCGTTAGCGCTCACTGTCTGTCGTGGAATTTATCTCTTAGCGCTTAACCGCTGCCGCACGTCAGACTGAAAATCGCAAGATAGATTTGATTTAGTAAGTTTTCAAGTTTGATACCCTATTAGCTGTACATAGCACTGTAATAGGTGACTATGTAGCCTCTGGTTAGAATAAGTTAGATATTGTAATAAGAAATAGTTTAAGGGAAGTCTGTATTTACAGACAATTCCAGGTAACTGATACTTTTGCATTGTACTATTTTAATTTCACTCTCACAAGTGGTGAGCTAAAATAAATTTAAAATACAATTGATTGCTTATTTAAAGCTCGATTATTCTAGCGGTGAAAACTTACCCGACGGAATACAGGTAAATCCTAGGGTAGATTTCCAAGTTAAGTTAAGTCCCAGACAGGTACTGCATGTAACCGGATATCAAAGTCAGGGACCACTTCATTTCGGGTTCATTTCCGAAAGCCTGAGCATTCTGACATACAGGAACTTCTGACATTTAACCAAATGTAAAGTTGGACGATTCAGTTCTAAAAGTGTTTCTGGAAAATATGTGCTGGGTTCGAGTCCCAACAAATGAAGTGGCTATCTGGGTACTGTCATAGTTTACCATATGTATAATATGAATACAAACTGGCTTCCTTTAGAAAGACATCAACAAAGAAATATCTTCTCTTAGGCAAAATAGCCTTTACGTTCTTTGTCTTATTCGATTAGAACAAGCCAAATCTTCAGTTAGATACGCAGTTTACTTTGCTTTGACTATTTTAAGTAATCAGCAGTCGCTTCGAATGCTTCGCGTTTAATCATATTGTTCATGTCATAAAGAATTATCAATACTTTTTTATAAAATACACCTTACATTAAAATCATTAAATTGTTATTTAATTTTTGTTACACAGTAACGCCAAACTGAGATACGTTTAGCAATAAGAATAACTTTGTCTGGGCTTGCTTAAAGATATTTTTAGTGTATTTTAATAAATGTTTTATAATGTTTCTATGTATTTTTTAAATATACCTTTGTAAAAGGCAGTTAATTTTACGTATTTGTTTCGTCGATTTAATAACGTAACTTACAAAAAATCTATAAAACATTTTCAATTACTTTTCCCGAAAGTATCTGAAATTAAAATTACATTTACAATCCATATTTCCCGGAGAAGCCTTTTGTTAATTATTAGTCTGGTATAATAACCATTTCTTGAAGTTATTTCCAAACATGATTAAAATTAAAAAATATTTTTGAAAACTCTTGTTAATCAATCATTTTATGGCTTTTTTAATTATATGACAAACCAATGTGATAATGAATTAACCACAATAAAAAAGGAGTTCATTTATAACTGCAATAATGTGCTGTGGCCTTTAGTGTTAGTGCCATGCATTCTACAGTTTCCTGTTGTTTACTATTTGACATACATCAGACGATCTGAGTTGAATTTTAAACTCTAAATCAAGGAGAAAAAGATCAGTTTATCAAAATTTACTTTCCCGAACAGAAATTATTTGTATGGGAGAAAAGCACATCGATATCAAGTAAACATTTAGTTAAAATTTAACCACAAAGTCTCCTTGAAGAGTGACGTTAGGTCTGTCTACCTCGAAATGATAGAGTTTGTCTATGAAACCAGCTAGCTATAGCATAAGATTAAGTTATGCATAATTTTATATGACCGTCATTATGTTTCGAAAATCGTGAACAAAATAAAGAGAATGAAAATTAATTGTATAAAATGCACATTCTGGTTCATTAAAACATAATTCTTAGTTAACAGATAAAAAAACTAACGTATAAGATTTCCAACTGTTATATTAATCTCTTGAGCAATTTATGAAAATTATTTGATTTTACATGCCCCTAAAACTTCATGCATTATTCAGTGG